TGCATTGACTATAGGAAGTTGAACAAAGCTACCATCAAGAACCGCTATCCTTTGCCAAGGATAGATGATCTCTTCGACCAACTACAAGGAGCAAGGGTGTTCTCAAAGATCGATCTACGGTCAGGGTATCATCAGTTGAGAGTGGCAGATGGTTCGGTACCCAATACAGCTTTTCGCACTAGGTACGGCCACTACGAATTCTTGGTCATGCCGTTCGGATTGACCAATGCACCAGCAGCTTTTATGGCACTAATGAACCGGGTTCTACATGAATACTTGGAGAAGTTTGTCATCGTCTTTATAGATGACATACTCATATACTCGAGAAGTAAGGAGGAGCACGAAGAACACCTTAGAGTGGTTTTGCAGAAATTGAAAGAGGAGAAGCTATACGCCAAGTTCTCGAAGTGTGAATTTTGGTTGGAGGAGGTCTTGTTCTTGGGTCACATGATTTCTGGACGTGGAGTTGAAGTAGATTCCAAGAAGATTGAAGCTGTAACAAACTGGGCTCCACCAAAGAATGTTTTCGAAGTGTGGAGTTTTCTGGGTTTAGCTGGGTACTACCGGAGGTTTGTGGAAGGGTTCTCCAGCATTGCACGACCCATGACACAGCTATTGCAGAAGGGGAAGGCATTTGTTTGGGACAAGAAGTGTCAAACGGCGTTTGAATTACTGAAGAAGAAGCTGACCTTTGCGCCGGTGCTAGCCCTACCGACCAGCGTGGGGAGTATTCCATCTATAGCCATGCTTCCTACCAAGGCTTGGATGTGTACTGATGCAGGATAAGAAGGTGATCGCCTATGCCTCGAGGCAGCTACGGCCCCATGAGTTGAACTACCCCACCCATGACCTGGAGTTGGCCGCAGTAGTCTTTGCCTTGAAGTTATGGAGACACTACCTCTACGGCAAGACGTTCACCATCTTCACTGATCACAAGATCCTCCAACACTTGAATGATCAGAAGGAGTTGAACATGAGGCAGAGAAGGTGGATGGAGCTGTTGAGCGATTATGACTGCACCATTAAGTACCATCCGGGAAAGGCAAATGTGGTGGCTGACGCTTTGAGCAAGAAGAGGGAGAGCCCTTTACCGGAGTTGGTCTCTTTGAGGGCCATGAACGTGGAATTGGAGCTAGAGGAGGTAACAAAGTTGTTAGCAACTTTGAAAATTCGTCATATGCTGCAGGAACGAATCAAGGAGAAGCAGAGTGAAGATTTGGAATTAGAGAAGTACAAGAAGCAAGTGTTAGAAGGGAAGGACACCAAATTTGGACTGGTAGATGGGGTACTGATGTATGAAGGAAGGCTGTGTGTTCCAGATGTTGGCAAGCTAAGGAAGGATATTCTGGACGAGGCTCACTCGGCACCCTATGCAATGCACCCTGGGGATACGAAGATGTATCGTAGCCTCAAGGAGCATTTCTGGTGGCCAGGATTGAAGAAGGAGGTAGCTACACATGTCTACCAATGCTTGGAGTGCCAAATGATCAAGGCTGAACATCAAGCTCCAGTCATTGAGCACCTACCGTTGGAGATCCCGCAGTGGACTTGGGAGAAGATCACCATGGATTTTGTGTATGGTTTACCGAGGACCCCAAGGGGAAATGATGGAGTATGGGTGATTGTGGACCGCTTCTCGAAGGTGGCTCATTTTATACCCATCAAGTTCAAGCGAGGGCTGGAGGAGCTAGCTAGGCTGTATGTGGGGGAGATAGTGAGATTGCATGGAGTTCCACTTAGTATCGTATCTGATCGCGACCCTAGCTTCACGGCACGATTCTGGGTGAGTCTGCAAAAGGCAATGGGCACTAAAGTTCACTTCTCTACCGCATATCACCCTCAGACGGATGGGCAGTCAGAGAGGACGATTCAGACATTGGAAGACCTGTTGAGGGCATGTGTCTTGACCATGGAAGGGGCTTGGGACGAGCATTTGCCTTTAATGGAGTTTGCTTACAATAACCAGTATCACAGCTCGATACAAGCAGCTCCATATGAGGTATTGTATGAAAGGAATTTTCGTACACCATTGTACTGGGATGCAGAGGGAGTGCGACAGTTAGAGGGTCCGGAGATGGTACATAAGGCATTGGAGAAGGTGTAGTTGATTCGCCCGAACTTGAAGGCGGCTCAGGATCGGTAGTAGAGTAATGCCGAGAGGCCAGGGAACCCGCGTAATTATGAAGTGGGTGATATGGTGTTCCTAAGGGTGTCTCCTTGGAAGGGAGTGATGAGGTTTGGTAAGAAGGGAAAGCTTAGTCCTAGGTATATCGGCCCATATGAGGTGTTGGAGCGAATTGGACCTTTAGCCTATCGACTAGCTTACCTCCTAGCATATCTAGGATTCACGACGTTTTTCACGTCAGCATGCTAAGGGCGTATCGATCCAACCCAAAGCATGTGATCAGACACGAGGACATCCAGTTGGAAGATGATTTGACCTATGAGGAGGTTCCAATCCAGATTGTGGATAGGCAGGAAAAGGAGTTGAGGAGGAAGAAGATTGCCCTGGTCAAGGTGGTATGGAGAAACCAGGGCAGCGAGGCTGCGACTTGGGAGACAGAGAGTAGCATGAGAGAGAAGTACCCAGAGCTGTTTTTTGGTGTTTAGGTCGTTAGTGGGTAAACTTCTGTGTACCCTCACTTTTAGTACTCTTTTTAGTTCCCATTTCTCGATTTTTTCAATAATAAGACCTGGTGGTTCAGGCCGAAATTACGATTGCTAGCAACCCAGTTCAACCTACAATTTTGAGGTCGAAATTTCTTAAGGGAGAGGGAAAATGTTATATCCCAGCAAGCATCGTTCCTTCGAATACAGCGTTGAATCGTTCAAGTGATTGCTCTACCGTTCAAATTTCGGGGACGAAATTTTTATAAGGGTGGAGGATATGTAACACTCCGACCTTTGGGTTTAGGTTCGACCTTTATTCGTGATCGGTTGGGTTGAAAGTTGCAATCGTGGATTAGTAGTAGTAATAATAATAATAATTATTATTATTTTATATAAAAAAAGGAATTCATAAGCCCGACCTGGGGGCCGATCGGCCTCCACAATTAAACCCCGCCAGTTTGTGATTTCCCAGCCGACCCTCTCTTTTCCTTTCCCCAAGCAAGGAGAAGCAAAACATGGCCTCCATTTAATTCCAAGACCCGCCCCAATTTTTCAACAGTCCCAAGAGCACCCCAAGCTAAACCGCCGCCCTTCTTCCCAAGAGCACCCCAATTTTATCTTCCCAGACCGCCGCCCTTCTTTTCCCCAATTCCCGTCCCCAAGCAAAGCCCGACCCTCTCTGTATTTTCCAAATCCCCAACCACGAGCAGCCCCGCGAGAAAAACCCCAAGCTCCCGCCGCCGATCAAAACCCCAATCCCGATCCCATCCCTCTCGTATTCTAGCGGTGAAGTTGAGGGTTCGATCAGCAAGGAGATCAACGTCCCGGGTCATCCAACCTAGACCTAGGCGCGTTCTAGAGGTAAGGGAACTCGATCCCTTTGAGTTAGATCGATCGATTTGGGGATTTTTCGTGAGGTTGCAATTCTGAGGTTTTAGCAACAGGCGTTACAGGCTTTTAGTGACAGATTTTGGGTGGTCACTAAAGCTGCTGGGAATTTCCAAAAACGTCTTTTTATATGGGGTAAATTTTTTCGAGCCTTTATGGGGGTTTGTTCCTCAGTTTTAAAATTTTATAAATTAAGGGAGATCTAGGAGATGGCTATAAATTAAATTGGGGATTTTTGAAGATGTATTTTTAATTTTAGAAATTGTTTGAACATTCGTTTCAATTAAATAAAAATATTTTCGAGGATTTTATTAGGATTTGATAATTTTCCAGAGTATAAGTACTTATGATTGATGTAGGAAAATTATTATCCGAATTTTTAAGAAGGTTCAAGTTAGGTGGAAAATTCGTCCAAGACTAGAATAATTAGGAAAAGTGGTCGGTTTTGAAGGGATTGGTTCTAGAAAAAATTTTAAAGAGGGTTAAGGGACCTTGGGAGCGAGTCTCGAGGGCTGGATGTTGAGGAGTGGATGTTATAGTGACCCAAAAGGGATTTCTAAATCGAGAAAGGTCGACTAAGGGGACGACTTTCTTATTAATAGGTTCACCGAGGTATTTCAGCTAGGAGGGTTTTCTTCGAGTAAAGAATCGAGGAGTCATCTTTACAAGGTGAGTGTAAAGGGGGTAAATTCTATGCCTTACGTGTTCTTTCAAGAGTTACAAGTCTTGAGTATTTTGATGAAATGAATGTCGTTGTTTGATTGTGCTTATGGTTGATGATATGTGATTTTGTTTGAGCTATGCTTGATGTGAATGTGCATGAGTTCTTATTTAAATTTAAGCTTTAAGTTTATAAGTTATTGTTGAAGTTAAGAAACAAGTACTTTTTAAGAAATAACTCACCTTCAAGAAGGTGAAGTCGTTTTCAGTGTTTTTAGTCACTAGCGCCAGTCCGTTTCCTTTTGAGACATTTTGAGATAGAGCAGCAGTTATGCTCTTGAGAACTTTAAGATGGGAAGCAGTTATGCCCTTGAGAATCGTGGTGAAGAGCCACCACGATAAGTTAAGATGTTAGGGGGATGAATTGTTACGACTTCCCTAACTAAGTTTAAGTTTAAGGAAAGCCTGAATGGCTTCTTATACGTATGAGTTGGCAACAGGACTAGCTAGTGAGGGATCCCCGTGTCAGTCAAAAGATTTAAGTCAAGTTTTGAGCTTGAAGAAGGGAGAGTAACTTCAACTCCCGAAGTATTTTATGAGTTAGGATTGTTGAGCATGGGAGTACAATACGACTTCCACTAGTAGAAGTTAAGTGTTTAGAGAAGAATGCTAAAGTATTAGATTTTAACGTATGGGCGTAGACTTACCCCAACTCACTCACCAGATCGTAGAGGAGGAAATCCTAACCAGCCAGTCCGGGATCAGCAAGCTAGAGGAGCTCAACACCACCGTCGCTGAGAGATGTCGAGCCAGGCGTCAGAGTAAGCATCGGAGAACTTTTTCAAGTTATTAAGACTTTATGGTTAAGAGTTAAAGATTGGAGATTCATTTCTTCTGGACAATTGAGTTTTGCCCACGTGTTTAGGGCTTCTTACTCACTCCTACTGCCACTCTAGAAAATGGTCAAGTGTAACCGCTTCCTAAAGCGTAGTATAGCGGGTTTGGGTTTTAATGTCAACCCGGGTCCTAGATGTGATGACTACTCAGCAAATTCTTATTATTTAGCGGTGAAACTTTAGTGTAGGTTCCAACAAGCAAAACAAGCAAAGCAAGTAAACGGTTGTTTTCAAGTCGAGAGAGGTCACCCGGATATGGTTCCCCCTAGACTGCAGTTGAGCCGGATTGTAATTTACCAAGTTCAGTTTTAATGATAGTTATACTGCGGGAGGTTCTTAAGAAATCTGAAGTCTCGACTAAAGGTCTCCCGACCCTCTCAATCTGAGTCCCCAGCGGGCGAATAACCTCCACCGGAGTAAACAGATTGAGGCCCTAACGAACCAAACCTCCACTACCGAAGCAAATTCGATACTGAATAGTGAATTGGCTCCTCGACTAAAGTCGCCAATTCACTACCTTCAATTAAGGGTGCTCTATCAACCTAGGCAGATATTCTCTTTCTAGGTTAAAGCAGAAACAACAGGAATTTGATCAGGATCCATGCCATTCAATCATTCAAACCTCAATTGAACATAATCAAATCATAGAATCTATACTTGGGTTCATACAATCAGACCTAACATACAAATCTAGGGTTCTCCATACCCAGATGAATAAGAAAACTACTCCATAGAGAGAGATGGGAAATCTAGCTCAGATGCGGAAACCATACTGTGAAGGATGATAATCTGCTTCTGGCGCTCAATCGGATCTTCTCCAAGCTCAAGCCGGGCTCCAATGGTGATGAAGATCAAGCTAGGGCACTTGGGAACTCTGGTTCGTCACTTTCTCTCTCTAGGAATCGCTCTGTCTCTCTAAAACTCGGAACCCCTTCTCCTTTGGCTCAAATCTGCCTAAAAGGCCAACCTTGGGCAAAACACGGCCGTGCTTTGCTTTTGCCCGCCCATGTTTTGCCCCGTGTTAAAAACACGCCCGCGTCGGCCAAATCACGGTCGTGCCTAAATATGGACACGGCCGTGTTTTGCTTTAGGCCAGCCCGTGTTTTGCTTTTCCATCAGTTCAGCTCTCGGCAATAAAAACACTGGCGTGCCTGTTTGTGTACACGGCCGTGTTTTGGTTTAGGCAAGCCTGTGTTTTGCTTTTCCATCAGTTCAGCTCTCGGAAATAAAAACACTGGCGTGCCTGTTTGTGTACACGGTCGTGTTTTGGTTTAGGCCAGCCCGTGCTTTGGCCCCAGCTCGACCGAATGACTTCTAAATGCCTCGAAACTCGTGCTTTCCTTCGACGTCTGGGACCTAAAATATGACAAAGTAGCACAACCCGGCGTAAAACGGGCCAAAAATACACGACTACTCACCGCAAACGGATACGAACTAAGGGTGCAAACATGTGCAAATACATCGCTATCAGCTTCGATTTGAGATGTTAAGATATTTGAGTTTGGTATTTTATTTAAACTTGTGTTATTTGAGATTTTTAATTATACCCGGGGTAGATATGTCTTTTCCAATTAAAAGAGATGGGATATTTCACGACTAAAGTCGTTAATTCACTACCTTCAATCGAGGGTGCTCTATCAACTTAGGCAGATATTCTCTGTCTAGGTCAAAGCAAAAATAACAGGCATTTGATCAGGATTCATGCCATTCAAGAAATCAAACCTCAATTGAACATAATCATATCACTGAATTCATACTTGGGTTCATACAATCAGACCTAACATACAAATCTAGGGTTCTTCATACCCAGGTGAATGAGAAAGTTACTCCATAGAGAGAGACGGGAAATCTAGCTCAGACGCGGTAACCATACTGTGAAGGATGGGATTCTGCTTTTGGCAATCAATCAGCACTTCTCCAAGCTTAAGCCGGGCTCCAATGGTGATGAAGATCGATCTAAGGCACTTGAAGAATCAGGTTCGTCACTTTCTCTCTCTAGGTATACGCTTTGTCTCCCTAAAACTCGAAACCCTTCAAAAATCAGCCTTCTTTCCCTTAAGAACCAGCAGGCCGCGATCCTCAGTCGTAATCCTCGGTCGGGTATTTCAGGTGCCCGGCCAGGGATATTGAAACGCAGCGTAGTGGTGAAGGGCTTAATACCCAATCGAGGTCCAGAAAACTGGTCGGATATTTTTGCTCTATGGCCGGGACCCCTTCTGCCTTCTTGGCGTCCAAAAGCACGAATCCCCGGCCGGGTAATTTGACTCATGGCCGGGTATTTTGCTCTTCCAGTGCCGTTCACTTCCATGTCCTCCTTTTTTACCCGAAACTCGTTTCCTCGCCTTCACGTCAATGCCAAGTCCTGAAATATGACATAAACACACAACCTAGCATGAAATCTGCTTAAAACACGAGAATCGACTCTCAAACGGCTCAAATTCCCCCACACTTAACTGTTTGCTTGTCCCCAAGCAAACCTAACTCAAAAGAGTGCAGCTCTCAAGACCTCTATAGCAACAAACAATCCCAATCGTCGCTAGAGGATTTCCTAGATCATATAGCAGCTTACGAGGTCAACTGGTCATCTAAGACGTCCCCTATCTCTCTCAATGCAAGTACTAGACTCAAGCCAGGATCATGAGAAGAAGTGGAAGTAAGACAACCAGTTCATGGGTAAAGGGACTCACACCATTCACAATCGAGGACTCATTGTACCGTGGTGCTCTCTCACTTCATTTCACCGTTTGAACCCCTCTTTCACTTTCATTTTACATTTTTTTTTCTTCAGTTGGTGGGGGTTCCAACTGCAATCTTTTGTACGGTCGACCCTTATTAGTCGACCAAGAGCAATTTCTGTACATCTGGCACTCGCCAGAGTACTTCTTTTAACTCCTTGTCTTCAACTCGTGTGGAGGGTCAATGAAATTAAGGGGGGTCGGAAGCTTTATCCGTGCCCTTAAAAAGACATCCTCGAGTAGGCAAACCTTCAACGGGTGAAAATTTTGCTTGTACTAGAGACAACTTAGCTTCATCTTGTAGGAGTAGCCCACTAAGGATCACTAAAGTCTCTTCCAAAACCTGATTTTGTTCAATGAACGGTGCCACACACGTTGGGCTTACCCCATGTTTAAGATTTCAATGATTTCAACATGGAGGACCAACTGCTTTACATTTCCCACATGAGCACCCTGTTCGATACATGAGTCCACAACACAATTCAAAAGGAGCACCATTACCACATGAATTCAACGGTCTTAACTCCATTAATTCACAAAATCAACCGGCACAGCAGAGAGCTAGATAGGAAAAATCTTATGCTTCAACATCCTCCATAGTGCTACACTACCTCCCTAGGTTGCACATTACTATAGAGACTGTCAATTCAAAGCATACTGAGCAGGCAAATTGCAAGGAACACGTACTTGGAGCCCTCAAATCGAAATTTGGACAGTGGACTAGGCTCCAAGCACACTAAGCAGACAAAATAGAAACACCCCCCCCCCCCCCCCCCCCCCCCCCCCCCCACACACACACACACTTAAGTTCGACATTGCCCTCAATGGAGAAGAGGGAAGGAGAAGGGAACAATTTTATTGGAAGGTGGACCAGTCGGAGTGAACGGACTGGAAATGGATCTAGTCGGTGCAAAGGCATAGCTAAAGGGAACACAGGAACTCAGCCACAATATGTTAGGTCCAGTTGTCAGCCTAATAGTACATCATCCAAAGGAAAAGAAAATAAACCAAAACAAAAGATAGTTTGCACTCCTAACCAAAATAGAAACAACACAAAACGGGCAAAGAGTACAGCCTACTCGAGCCCGCTGAAGTCGATCTGGTCCATGAGGTCGTCAACCCCATCTGTCGGTGGTGGCGGGGGTGGTGAGTGGTCCCACTGGGTGGTCTAGTGGTGCTCCTGTGGCGGGTGGCAGGACTGGAGCAAGTGCTCTTGGTACTCCATCCGGCGGCCACGATCCCGCTCCCGCTTGATCCGAGCACTGGTGACTCCCAGCTGAGCCTCCATCCGGTCGAGGCGCTCGTCCAGAACCGTCATCCGTGATTGGTACTCGGCCTGGCGGGACAAATACTGCTGGTAAAACTGGACCTGATGGTCCATGAGCTGCTGGTTCTCGAGCCCGAGCTGCTGAAACTTAATCCCCATCTGGTGGAACAGCTCCGTGAAGAAGTCCATCGACGGACCAACAGCCATCGACGGACCAGAAGGACCGGAGGAAGACTAGGCTCGCTCGGATCTCCTTCGTGGCTGAAGATCCCCTTGGAGGGAGAGTGGGGGCTCCGGCTCATCAGCATCCATGGCCCCGCCATCACCATCACCATCCTCGGCCTCATCCTCGTCGGTGTAGTCCTCGTCCTCCTCATCCTCATCAAGATCTGCATCCTCCTCAGGAGGCAGAGACAGCCCATCCACCCAGGAACGTGCTCCATCAGAGGCCAGTAGAAGCGCGTTGTGAAGCACCTCCCATCTGAGGGGGGTGGACCCGCCCCGTGCTGTGGCATCCGTGAGTCCCTCAAAGTCGATCTCGAAGTGGCGCGCCAGTCTGGTGATCAGGGGACCACAAAAGAGGTGGTTGGATTTCCCGTGGCACGGAGAGAAGGTGGTGGCCACGAAGGAACCCAAATGGAACATATGATCCGGGTCCCCCATCGAATACATGGCGTATAGCACCCGCTTCAGGATCTTGTGGGAACCAGTAGCGTTGGTAAATATCGAGCGGGTAATGAGCAGGTTCAGGATGTGCCACTGTGGCTTGAGGGTGGAGACGTGGGTCAGGCCGGCGTCGAAGTAGTCCATCCCGTAGGCGCGTCAAGCTATCCGGCAGTCAAACTCGTCCTAGTTCCAGTCCTTCGGATGGGGGATCTCTACCTCATGCTGGGAGTAGGGGTGGTACTGGATCCACAGGGCGAAGGTCAACCCATCAATGCTCAACTGCCGCGGGTGCCCACCCAGCCTGAAGGTGACACCGGTGTGGGCGTCCCGGGCCGCTTTGGAGTGGTACCTGAAGGTGGTGTAGAACTCCCACACCAGCTCTGTGTAGGTGGCTCATCGATCCTCAGTAACGTCTGCCAATCAGGGTGGCTAATGGCAGTGGCGATCTCGTTCAAGCAGTGAAGCTGCTCGAAGACCCCCCACTCCAAATGGTGATGGTGCTGGAGCACTCTGCGTATGACCTGGCGGTACTGGTCAACATACTCCGGGTGCAGGCGCAGATCCTACATGAACGGGTGATCGAGCGACATGATCCTGCAAAATCAACAAACCAAAGGTGGAGCCAAGAAAATACTCGTTAGGACCAACAGTATGGGTTCACCAATTCCCCCACATTTAAGGACCACCTAGGGCCAACAGTCAAGCACGAACGGTTGAATTGCAAGCAAAACAACCGCAATCAAAGCAAGGATCACGCGCAAACAACCCATTCAAGCAACAGGGCATCATATATTAGCCAATCATAACCACGGCATCCCTCACCCTATTCTAATTTCAAACATGCCATGCAAATCACAGTTCTCGGTCCTAAAATCTATAGTCCGATTTTCCAGAAAATAATAAACGGAGCAAACAACACACTTGGAAACTAAAGTAGGACCGTAGAGGGGACACAAGGAGAGGGTGAGGGACGCGAAACCACTCCCAAAATGGTCCGGAAAAGCTCGTCGGAAATACGGCCGGAAAGTCACCGGAAAAATGGCCAGAAGGTGGCCGGAAAGTCCCCCGGAAAATCGGCCGGCGACCGGAGGCGACGGGGCGGCGGCGAAGCGGTGGCTGGTGTTGGGCGGCGGCGCTCACGCGGGAGAGAGGGGGGAGGAAATGAGAGGGAAGAGAGGGGAAGTTTGGAAAAAAAATGAGAGGAGAGAGAAAGTTCTGATCGGGGGTTTGCTTATAAAGCAAAAATACCCGGTCGGGGGTTGCGAAACGTGGCGTACCACGTAGGGGAAAATCCCCGGCCTTGAATCAAAAATAATCGGTCGGGTATTTTTGAGTCAAGGTCGGGCTTTTGCCCTTTTTCTCCCCAGAGCACAGAAGGGGTCCAGGCCGCGACACAAAAATACCCGGTCGGGTATTTTGTGTCACGGCCAGGTATTTTCCCCTTTTCGGCCAAAAAACACTTTTTCTCATTTTTTCGAACTCCCCTGCACGAAAACACAAAACCGAGGCAGATCAGACGACCTAACTTCAGCACAGACGTGCAACTGACTCAAACACGACACAAAACAAAGAAAAAGGGAAAAAGAAATGCAAATCGTGGTGGGGTTGCCTCCCCACAAGAGCTTCTTTACCGTCTTTTAGCTGGACGACCATAGCGGAAATAAGGGTCCGCGAGTTAAACCACCAACACCGCACGTTCGACCTCGTCTCCCAGGTAGAGCTTGAGACGATGGCAATTCACTTTAAACGATTCATTTTGCGGGTTGGCAATTTCAATCTTGTCATACGGGAACACGTGTGTGACCGTGAACCGTCCAGACCACCGGGAGCGGAGCTTTCCAGGAAAGAGTTTGAGGCAAGAGTTATAGAGGATAACTCGATCACCAACCTGAAACTCCTTCGGACCCCGCAACCGTGCGTCATGCAGGCGCTTAATGCGCTCCTTGTACAACTTGGCGTTGTCATAGGCGTGATAACGCCATTCCTCCAGCTCCAGCATCTGCAATTTTCGTTTAACACCTGCAACACTTATATCCAAGTTGAGCAGCTTAAGGGCCCAAAAGGCCTTGTGCTCTAGCTCCACGGGCAAATGACATGCCTTTCCATAGACAAGCCGGTACGGTGAAGTACCAATTGGCGTCTTGTAGGAAATGCGGTATGCCCAGAGAGCATCATCGAGCTTGGTGGACCAATCCTTGCGGGACTGATCCACCATTTTCTCCAGTATACGCTTCAGCTCCCAATTCCTCAGCTCGACCTAACCACTCGTTTGAGGGTGATAGGCCACGGATACCTTATGAGTGACACCATAGCGAGACAGTAACTTATCAAACTGGTCCTGGAAATGGGTGCCTCGGTCTCTTATGATGGCTCTAGGTGTCCCGAACCGGGAGATTAGCTGCTTCAAAAATCCACAAACACGTCTAGCATAATTGCCCATTGGTTGGCAAAGCTTGCGCCTCAGCTAGGGGTGTCCAATCGGGTTCGGGTTCTCGGGTTAAACCGAAACCGAACCGGTAAGATGACATTCGGTTTTTGGGTTTTCATTTTTGACCCGAAGTGCTATATATCGGTTTTGGTTTTGATGTAACGCGGAAACCAATTAAAACTCGCAAACCCGAAACTGTGATGGTGGAGTATTGGTTTCTTTCGGAATTTTAGTGAGAACGAATGGGCTTTAAGTGAGAGTTGGCCCAACAAAGGCAAGCAACAGACAAATGCAACTGAATTGGGCTTATTAAGATGTTCAAGCCCAACTCATTTCCAGAACCAATTTCAAACAGAGTACTCCCTTCATCGTTCTGTATGCAGCCAACAAGAAATAGAGCAAAACCCAGAAACAGAGTAATAAAAGGAAACGAATTACGAATACTGAAAACGAATTACAGAGTAATAAAAGTACTCTAACAATAGAATTTCTTGCTAGTTCTCGTGGTAAGAACAAGCCTTTATGGAAAATGAGTAGTGGGTTGATTAGTTTTTCCGGTTCTTAATAAGGAAAAATCTAGGATTCAGAGTATTTATTACATTGTTGATAGATATAAGAATTAAAACTAATGCGAGATTCGGGATTTCATTTCACCAATGGCAGCCATTAGTGAAGGGAGCTAATTTTTTGGGTAATCTTTCTTCTGTGTGTGTACTAAGTTGAAAGGAAATAAACGGTTACCTTTTTTGGGTGTGAAGATTGAAGAGTGAAGAATAAGGAAATTACAGGCTCGTTTATGTAATAAGAAGGTAAGCTTTCCGGGTTCCATTAATTACACAAAATTCTGGGTTCCTTTAATTACACAAAATTCTGGATTTTCGGGTTCCATTATAGCAAAACTGCAACCATTAGTTGAAGTTTCGGGTTCAGGTACCCGAAATTGGCATTTTTTTTGTTTCGGTTCGGATTTTTAGTAAACGGGTGTCGGGTTTTCGGTTTCTTTTGAATTTCGGGTTCGGTTAACCGACCCGAACCGACCCGACAGCCCTAGCCTCAGCCCACTTAGAGACGTAGTCAACAGCAACTAAGATGTAGGTATTTCCAAAGGATGGAGGGAAGAGGCCCATGAAGTCGATACCCCAGACATCAAAAATCTCACAGGTTATAAATACATTCTGGGTCATCTCATCACGGGCAGAGATATTACCTGACCTCTGGCATCGGTCGCACCTGCGTGCAAAGGTGTCTGCATCCTTCAAGAGCGTGGGCTAGTAAAACCCCGATTGTAGCACCTTTCTCGTCGTGCGGTTACCTCCATGGTGACCGCCAGTAGATCCATCATGGCAGTGAGATAGAATGCCCTTCATCTCACTTTCCATGACACAACGACGGATGATCTCGTCGGCTTAACTGCAATCTAGGGGGAACCATATTTGGATGACCTCTCTCGAACTTGAATCACAACTTAGTTGCTTTGTGTGTGGTTAAATTAGTTCAAACTTCACTACAGTTAAACAGCTAGATAACAAGAACCCCACAGAGTAGTCATCACACCTAGGACCCGGGTTGACAAATAAAGCAAAACCCGCTATACTACTCATTAGTAGGTGGTTACAGTTGGCCACTTTCTAGTGTGACGGTAAAGGCGAGTCAAGTTTTTGGCGCCGTTGCGGGGACAGCTAGGTTGTTGAAGAAATGTGGTTTTTTTTACTTTAACATTTCTTTTCTGCATTGTTATGTTTGCTTTTTCCCACTTTTTCCTTCACAGGGTTTCCTTGCTTAATTGTGTGCAGGTAGTGCATGACCCGTAGCCAGTCGGGAGCATTACTATCGTTGGATTCGGAACTTGAGCGCACTTGTCGCCAGCTTAAGAAAGTACATCGAGACTGGCTACGACAGAAAAACAATTTGACGGTCGGATTAGCAGCGACTCGGAGCAGGAGGACGACATGGGAGACGAAAACAACCAGATGAACAACCTGAATCAGGAACAGCCTCTGGGGATGCCCCTCCAAGTCATTCTAGTGAATCAAGTCCTACTTAATCGGCTTTCCACAGGCAGATGCTGCCAACCATCAGCCACCTCCCTAGGGGCCCACTATGGAGTAATTCTACACTCCACGAATCGCTGAAATCCATCCAGTCATCCAGTATCCACCCATCCCTGCCAATAACTTTGAGATCAAGCCATGCTGGATCCGGTTGATCACATCTTCTATCCAATTTCATGGGCTCAAGGATAAAGAGGCTAGTCAGAGGAACCAACATGCGCTACTGCTGGATATGGACACAAAAATCAGACAACTAGCAGATTCCCGTGCCTCCCGACCGGCTGGAACGCTTCCTGGCCAACCCCTTCTGAACCCAAGAAATCATAAGGAGGGGTTGCATGCCATCATGCTAAGGAGTGGGACAGTAACTGAGGATGCACCACCACGGGATGCAAGGAAGGATACACAGACCCCCCAGAGCCGGAAGAGGACCAGGAGGTGGAAAAGGAGCCGGAGGCTCGAGCCCCAAAGCCCCAGCCAGTAGTGGTTGAATATAAGCTGCAGCTCCCTTTTCCCACCAGGCTGCACAAAGACCAGCTAGAGGCTGAGTTCGGGAACTTCATGTCTATGCTTAGGAAGCTGAATGTTCAAGTGCCCTTCCTAGAGGCATTATCTCAGATGCCTAAGTATGCAAAATTCCTGAAGGATCTTCTAACAAAGAAGAAGAAGATGATGATGAGTGAGCTATCCACTATGGAGCTCGACGAGAAGTGTTCGGCCATTCTGCAGACCAAGCTTCCGAAAAAGCAGAGAGATCCAGGTAGTTTTACTATCTCACGCTCTATTGGTAAATTGCATGTAGAGAGGTCATTGGTGGATCTAGGCGCTAGTATCAATGTTATACCATATAAATTGTTCAAGAAACTAGGCCTAGATGAACCAAGTGCAACTAGGATGAGTATCCAACTAGCTGACCGATCAATAGTTCATCCTAGAGGCATAGTGGAAGACCTCCTGGTTCACGTTGGCAGATTCTTTTATCCTGCGGATTTTGTTGTCTTACACATCAACGAGAACGCAGAACTGCCCCTGATACTAGGTAGGACTTTCCTGACCATCACCAAGGCTCTCGTTAATGTGCATGATGGAACCTTAGTCTTGAGGGATGGTTAGGAGCAAATAACTTTTTCCATCGCTAATAACATGACTGCTCCCTGGCCTTTGCATGTTGTATCTCACTAGGTGAATGAGTTTGTCATGTATCCTTCTTTGTCTCCCATTATGCAGGATTCTGAATCTCCTCCTCATCCGCCACTTCCGCTCCCAAAGTTACCAAAAGAGCGCCGCAAGGAAGAGTGGCGGCCAAAGCTGCAGTCCTACAAGCCTGGCAAAACGAAAGCAGGAGACCACTATGATCTGTACCCGGCTCCTTAGCCACGAACCCCCTGGCCATCCGAGTATTCACTCACGTGCATCCTAATGGATGGCTAGGTCGAGTTGACCTCTGCGGGTGGCCAAAACCGTCGTGTGTATGACCACCATTTGAAGTTGTACCTCAAGAGTGATGTGGATCCTCTCTTGGAGGCACATGCTCTTAATCTACTCTGAGCATCCGCTGGTTGCGTCTAGCTAAAGACGTGAAAGAAATTGCTTGTGGGGAGACAACCCCACCACGGTTTACATTTTCTTTTCCTGCTTTTTTGATTTTTTGGTTGTTGCGTCGGTTTGTGTGCCTGTCGAGCTCCCATTGGGCTGACAATTACCCCTAACAAACAGTGTTATAGTGGTTGTTTCTAAGACCTTCTCTTGCAGTGACTGGTCCCATTTCCAGTATTTTTCCCCCATCCTAATGGTCCACTCTCCCATCCAGCTGCAGTATGTTTCTCTCGGTAACATCATTCCCCTTATCTTTCCCTCTTCTCCATTGAGGGCAATACCGATCTTAGGTGTGGGGGTGTTTATATTTGACTGCTTAGTTGTGTTTGTGTGCTTGGAGCTAGTCCACTGTCCAAATTTCGATTTGAGGGCTCCAAGTACGTGTTCCTTGCAATCTCCTGCTTAGTATGCTTTGATTGACAGTCTTTATGGTCATATGCAACCTAGGAAGGTAGTTGTAGCACTATGGAGGATCTTGAAGTATAAGATTTATCCTATTTGTCTCCTTGTTGTGTCGGTTGATTTTGTGAACTAGTAGATTTAGGACCTTTGATTCATATGGTATTGGTAACTCTCTCTTGTTGTGTGTGGACTCATGTATCGAAAAGGGGTGCTCATTGTGCATAATGGAAAGGCAGTTGGTCTTTCATGTCAAAAATTTGAAAATTAAAACATGGGGTAATCCCAACGTGTGTGGAACCTTTCATTGCACAAAATCGGGTTTTGGAAGACATTTTAGTGATCCTTAGACAAAAGGCAGCTATTTTGTGCTGGTATATCAACGCATATTTTCCAAAAAGCTTACCTCATGATTGTAAAGCTCTATGTAACAGGATTACAGCTCACATATCAGGCTGGAAGCCTAAACTACTAAGTTATGCTTGCAAGTTTATAGCTCTTCAACTCTACCATAAATAGCATGCTCCAATACCGGATTCATATATTTCTACCTCCCCTGAAGCATGGTCCATGAAACCGTACCGTACCAGCGGTTCAATCATAAAATACCAGTATCGGAGGCTAAATCGATAGGCGGTATTTAACGGTACTAACGGTTGAACTACGATTAAACCACAATTTTACCATAAAATATCCTATCGTTGAGTTTTCTGGTATGGTGTTCGGTACGGTTTCATGGACCATACCCTGAAGGTTATTAAGGAAATTGAGACAAAGTCTAATATGTTTCCAAGGGTAGGAGAAAATTTAGGGATGACAAAAGGAGTGGTGACTTGGGACAAACTGCTATTCCTAAACAACAAGAAGGTTGACTGGGGATAAAGTGTCTGCCAACATAATATCACCCTAGGGAGGGTGATTGATCAGAATCCACGCAGCTTAGACCTCAATTTGATCAATTGAGTCTCTTCCTTGCTCCTGACAAAACGGAACTCCAAAACCAGCCCAGGTAGCTAGTTTCGAGCTCCATAAAAGATGGAATCTGAGGGTTTCTTCACAC